AGCATTCAGTAATCTATAAAGCATTCAGTAATCTATAAAGCATTCAGCAGTGATGGGCAGAGCCCTGTAGAGAGAGAGAGCTGCGACACTCTTTGAACTCGTCGATACGCGGTCACGTGGTTCACGCAGCTCATCCTGTCAGTCAGTTTGAGGCTGCTGGTGCAACATAACACAAAAATCTACTTTTCTTACTTTACCTGGCATCTTTCAGTAATTATTGAGCAGTAACGAACTGATTACTTAACCGATTACTGATTATTTCACAGACTATGCATTTTATCAAAGCATTTTTAAAAGCGGCTGATACATTTATCATCAAATTTTAAAGAAACAAGATTTTATCATTAAATTATAGAAGGGAACGAGTCTGCAAACACATATTTGTTAGAAAAATAAGTCTATGCAATACATTGATCAATATAGCCATGTCAGTGTTTTATAACATACACACGATAAATAAAAGATCAGAGTAACTCCTGTTATAAAGTTATTCTGATGTTCTCTGCAGGATAATGCTCCACCTTGTCCTCCATGCAGCAGTTCAGATCTGCTCCAGCTTACCTCAGAACATCTGGATGAATTCTTGATTTCTATAGAAGATATTAATTCAACCTTTATTTAAACAGGTTCATCCCATTGAGCCACGAGGACTCATTTACAAGAGAGACTGAATATAATTGTTGTATTTGTCGTTTTTTTATGGAACCAAGTACCTGATAACTGAGTTGATTGTAGCCTGACAACTATTGTAAAACTGTAATTCATTGATTAAAATGTTAATTTAAATGAAACTGTTTCTAGTTAAATCATAACAGATGACAAAATAAGTGTTAACTGTGCAAAAATAAATTTCCAAACAATTTATTATAAAAGATGTAAAATGTAAAGCAAGCTTTAAAATGTAAAGCAAGCTTTAATAAAGTACTTTTACTGACATTTATACTGTTTATTAATGACATCATCTCAAGTCAGCAGGAGCACCATCATCATCATCATCATCACAACAACACAAAGTGAGAGCTGTAAATTTAATCTGCACAAACATTTTCTATCAGGGCTCAAAATGTTGAACTGTCAAAGAAATGTGCAAGAAAATTAACTAATGTCACTCTACAGACACATTTAGAGACCAGAACCAGACGAGAAGAACAGCAGAACTTCCACTGACCAGTGACCTGACCAGTGATCTGACCAGTGACCTGACCAGTGA